ATTATGCGTCCCTCGCTAACGTCAGGATGCAAACCAACCTTATCGTCGCCATTGAAGACAGCATCTACACCGACACTGACGCAATCGATTTCAAGCCCATCAATAACTGGGCCACATGGCCTTTGCGTAACTATCTGACTCTTGTTTTCTTTTCAAGGCTTCGTGTTTCTGGACAGCTGCTTGTAATTCTGGGAGTTCGTTATAAACCCAACTAGACTTGATGTATTCCGCCGATCTGCTGTTATAGTAGGGTTGGAACACATTATCCATGTCCGTTTTCGCCAGTGCCTGGGCCATTCTCAGAATGCTGTCCCGTCGTTGAGCGAGGTAGTGGCTATATGTCGTTATTTCTTCGTCGCCAGACATGTCGTGTACTGTACTGTCTGGTAGGGTGAGGCATCCGCCCTCATTAGGGTCTAATTTGATCATGCACACGAATACCATGACATGGCACCCCATAAGATTCTCATAAGGTTGCTCTGAGGCGCCAAGTGCCACCAATGTCTCCATGATCCTGGCCGTGCGGTGTAAAGTCCCTTCCCATGTGCCCTTGGTGAGAATTTGTCTGAGAAGCCTCCCAGGATCCAAGTTTGTATGAAGTGCCAAATGTCCATCTATCAGCTGGCTTTCAAGGAGATCAAGAAAGCCAGGATAAGCGATGCTGTGCGGGTACCTTGCGTCTCCGAACGGGATATGAAGAGCGAGGGAGCGATCGAAGTGGAGAAGAACGGTCATCTTCTGATGCCGCACGGACTCGCTACGATACGCGAATATTATATCGTATGTGAAACATTCATGGAAAGCCAAGCGCTCTTCCATAGATCTCACCAGACCGTTGTTCAGAAGCCATTCGAGATTGTACGCACTCACTCCATCATCGTCCCATACATCTTCCAAAAGATCATGTAAAAGCTCGCCATAATCAATAGCATTATTATCTTTCAGTGGTAAGATCGACGCAGCCGAGTTCAACGCTTCCAGCATACGCTGGATGCTACATGACCAAGATGATGTGGGATCCCTTTGCAAAGCTGCGTATATGTATTCCAGTGGGCGGTCGTGCCTCGTCAGTGAAGGTGCCGCCTTGAAAAGCTTTTCGACGAGACTCAGTCGACCTCGTCCAGCAGCGTCGCATACAGCCCTAGGAAGGCATCGATCTTCATGACGAAGGCAATTCTCGACGGCGAAGATGATGGTGTCGTCGGCTGCTTCCTCGCTCAGCAATACTCTCAAGAAGCGATAACCTTTGAATTTGTTGTTCACATCATTGAAAATGGCATCTTGACGAGTCTTGTCCTCCAACACAAAACGCAACATTGGTACATGACGGGCATAGTACAATGGGTTTCGAGCCGAGTTTGAAAAGGGCCAAGGGGGTAAGTCGTCAAGGGTAGCTCCTCTTGAAATCAGCAATCGGACGGCGTCGAGCTGGCCTGAAAGCATGCACAGTCCAATCATAGGAAAGTGTTTTCGCTGATATAGGAATTTCCTCCTACAGTAGATTCGGGTTGGATCTGGCTGACCCACACACGCTCGCTCGCTCGTATACGCATACAGACTGGGCTTCATCCCGAGATCCATGCATCTTCTCATGATGTCGAGACGGCCAGTTTCGCAGGCCCAGGCAAAGGCAACACTATCTCCTCGTGCAACAGCGTTGGCTACGAGGCGGACGCCAAGGATCGAGTTAAATCGATGCGAAGCCAACATCCAATTTAGATGATCTTTTGGAGCCAGGAAGGAAGAAGTAAAGTGCAGAAGCTCGTTGGGAAGGTCTGCGATCGCCGGACCACGCATGGTGATAATCTTGACTGCGTCCATACCGTGGAGGACTAGGGCTTTTGAGTGTTCGGATCGACCTGGTGGCGATTTCAAAGTGGGAGAAGACGTTCCTGGAGAGGCCTTGTGAATTGTATCGAAAGTAGGAGAAAAGGTGCAGTGTGTTGTAACGAAATTGGAGCTGGATCTTCTGTGAGTCCAGATGGATTCGTGCAAGTAAAAACAAAAGAGGAGGCCGACAGTTTGAGTTTCGGAGCGTCAAAAATTCGGATGCCGCAAGGGGAAAAAAGAGAGAAAAAAGGTCTAGAATCTGCAACCTTTCAAAAATCAAAATCGTACATCAAGGTTCACAGAAAATTCTTTTGGTTACGCAAGACCGTCTCTTAGGGCTCGACAAGGTATGGACCTCACAGGGTGACCAACACGCGGACTAGTTCAAAACTCTGTAAGATAGCGTTGATAATGAATGCAGCCTTTTGATTCTGCCCATATTGGAAAACGAGACTAATGAAAATCCATTCATAAAGCCTACGGGGATGACTACGCGGTCACGAGGATAAAGCGAAAGACGACAGACAGTATTAACAGCGGAAACGTTTGAACTAACAATAAGGGGCGTTCAGTATAATAGTGATAGTGGAAAGAAAGTATCAAGACAGCGCAGATCAATAATAGGGGCTCACTGCTAAGCTATCAGAAATTCAACTGCAACGCTTGACGCGGCTTCAGGTTCTTATAGTTGCCTGTATGTGTCAAGTATCAGCAGCAAGTAGGCGTCGGCATTCTCCTCCAGTCATGCTGAGCTTCTAAAAAGCAGCAAAAAGGATATCTCTCCCGCCCGGAATCGAACCAGGGGCGGGTGCGCGACAAGCACGCATGTTACCACTACACCACGAGAGATGATTGTCGTGTTGATTGTTGAAAACGATGGGATGGGAGAGGTGTATGAATCTTCGATGTGGTGACTCATTGGTTTGAGGGTGATGTGCCAGACAGGTTGATGACTGTCAAGGTTGCCTGATGCTTCGCCCCAACGTTGCTTATTGGGTGCCCTTGCTACTCCCAAAAGCCATCCCCAGACCGAGAAGGCTTTTGGATGGCTATGTGTTCCCAATAGAGAGCTATCTCAAAACGCCCTTCATCGGCTATGATTCCTCGGAAACAACCGATGATGGAATGCTTTCATCTCCATAAACGATTGCAGGCATGCTATACTCTATGGCATGGCATTCCAAATATGAGCTATAAACACCAGAGATCTCTAAAATATTGAAATGTTCACTTTGAACCGTCATATAGCTTCAATACGTACAACATTGTATCAATATGAGATTCTTTATCCTCTCTATCTTCATACCCCTGTGCGGCCTATCCGCTGCCCAAAGCGCTCGCGACAACAGGCTCAGAGGTGAGTTATCCTTACGCAGCCTTTCAGTACATCGATCCAAGGATGAAAACAGAATTGATAAAGGACAGCGATTGCCGCGTTTGCCCAAGGTTAGAGTGGAATGGCCGACTGCTCCAGCTACTTGGTAGTCACCGTCTTCGAACCCGCGTAAGCCTCTCCCACCAGCATGTCCAAGCTCTGAAGAACTTGACTGGGAATGATTCTGCGACCAAAGACACTTCAAACCACCGTGCTCGTCACCTCAACCTCACCGTGCAGGGCGGTGCACTTCTGTTCACCACGACCGCGATGCCGGACAATATCCCACAGCCCGTGAAAAGACAAGCGTCGCCACCGCAGAACATCCCAGTTTACTCGTCTGCATGCAGAGGATTGTGCCCACATTGTATTGGGACTCATAGCTCCCGAATAGGTGAGCAGAAAGACTGGGGATACATAGCGGTCGGTTTGGTGAAGAAGGCGTTCAGTATCACCGTTGCTGACGGGCAACGCTTTCGTCTCACGTCTTATCATTCAAAGCAACACCTAATCTCCTCACCCATGCTCCTGGAGCCTAGCATAGACCCTATATAAAGACACTTTTGACCGCCGCGGCACCTTTACACTGCACGCTACTCTCGAGGCGACTGCTCAACGACGAAATATTTACCAAGGACTTTTGCAACAGTGAGGAAATCTGGCCATACCTGGTTATTCAACCCCGCTATCATATGGGATTCGAATGTCTTGAATGGGAAGAGCGATAGCTATCATGATTTCGTCTAGGACATCGCCAATTCGCCAGCGTCCCATCTCCGCCATGTCCCATTCGGCCTGCGAGACCTTCTCGATTGGAACACCTCTCTGAGTTATGAAGAGATCTTACTGAAAGTGAAATTGCGGCCACCCATGAGAAAGATGGGAATGGCGCCAGAAAGACAGACTATGACGCTAAATTGCTCCGTATTTTGAACTGCAATCTCTCACGGGATGGCATGAGTAAGACTTCACAGGATTTAGAGGAAAGGAGGCAGCCTCGGGGTTGCCACAAGATTAGCGAGAACTCTGCTGGTTCCAGGAGCAAGACGATACGCAGCAGCTGCAGTTGTGAATAATTCATCATATTCTCTAATGACAGCCCCGCCACCCTCTGCCCTTGCGCGTATGTGTCTATCTATACAAGACTCAGATCCTGTCTCGGGCTAGGGCCCGATTGAGATCTCCGGCCTTGCCGAAGCATCTATTCCCGACCTCCGGTCCCACTGGCCGTTGGGGGCCGAATAGACTCCTGCCCTCTCATTAGCTCAATTCGCCGCATCCGGTCCGGGCGGTGAGCGGGGCAGTAGCGAGAACTCTGGGACATCTCACGGGACCTCGTGCCAGGGTTGTGTCGAGGCTATCACGAGTCATGAGGACTTTGTGCTACGTTTTGAAAACAATGAGCACTAAATCTATCCATTAGATCACTCACAGGACCTAAAACCCTCACAGAAGACAACAAAAGCGCAGGCTCAGTATCGGAAAGCCTTAAAGGAAGTCGCCAGAATTAGAGCTTTCAAAGTTTCTAGATTCGCTCAGCGCTGTGTCTATGTCACAGATTTGTATGCAGTGACTATTGTAAACCTAAGCAATATATGACTCCTGCCGCTACCAGCAATAATCTGTCAACATATTTTACATCAATCAATGCAAAGGTGCTGTCATGAACGCTCGACGCCCAGATTATCAACGCTCATTCTCGCATGAATGAGACCAACCACAGCGGGCGTAAAATCTTGCGGTGTTGTTTTCATTGAATCAAACGCAAGTTGCACTCCCTGCAAGATGCCCTGTCTTAGTAACAATATCCACCAGCCCCTGGGTCTTCAGTTGTAGCTTTGCAACAAGCAAGTCGGGTTCCGGGGCACTTGGCCCTGCCGTCATCGTAGAAACAGCTGCGAGAGGATGCACACTTGCAATCCGTCAGATAACATCGCGGTTAGGTGGATGACTTTTACTTACATCCCATGCCTCGCAGTTAGCGGGCGGGGCCTTGCAGTACTGTCCCAATACTGACAAGGGGGACAGGACGAGTATCAGAGTGACGAATTTCATTGTGTTCTGATAGGGGGAGTAAGACTGTTGGGGAGAGTTCGGAAAAAGTAGACTGAGGGGTGGCGTGGGTTTCTGTTGCATTCAACGGGCGGCGAGTGATGGACGGCGCGACACTGTCACCTTTTATACAGAAAGACACGTTAAACAAAGGCTTTGGTTGATTGCTTCGGATCGTATGATACTACTAATTTAAGAGATGGAGAAAATAAGGTTTTTACCATAAAGTAAAATAAAGTGCTTTCTGCGGAACAATACTGTCGATCAGTTGATTATTAACCACTTATTGAAACTCTCGCTCTATGCTACTGCGTACTGCGCAGAGTTGCCCAGCCTATTAGCCCCAACCGCCATGTTTGACGTTTGTTCTGCTTCCTGCTGATAGAGACCACCTGCAGGTTTAGTCGCGGAAAGTAAGGTACAATGCTGTGCCGTTCACCAGGAGCAACTATAGCTAATGCGTCATCAAGAGCACGCTACTCAACTCAACAGTTGCGTTCAGACAGCAGTCAAGTCGATCAACACTGCAAACAGTCACCCCCTTAACCTGCCAGACGTGAGACCCCATCACTATTGCTAACATGAGAGTGACAGTCCTCCGTAGAATCAAGGCGCACATAGACCGCGCCATCAAACAAAGCAGCAACAAGCATGTCCGCAAAATCAAGGCGGTATCTGCCAACTAATTCAACAGCCGCGACCTAAGCATCAAGACAGCTATAACGAAGTGCATTAAGGTCCTCTGCAAGTTTGCTAACGACTGAGAAAACCACATCGGCAACGACGCTGCAGTGCAGACCCCGACCTACAGATTGCTGGCGCAATGTTTTATAACCCGCTCAATAAACATAGATCGCCAGGCCAACAAAGCCGTCATCCCTACAGCACAAATCAAGTATCTAGGCTGCTGGCCGTCCAACCAGCAAAAAGACTGCATCATTAGTGGTCATGGAGGCGTCGAGGGCAAAGAGGCTAACAAACCGATTCACGAGAGACTCGTCCAGACAGTGTCGTTTGAGGCAGTGTTTCAATTGCAACGCATACAGTATCACAAGAACCTAGTGTAAGGCAAAGGGAACGTATTACTACTATACGTAAGAACGTGCGACCCGAGACTCCCCTTTGAAGAACGATATAACAACGTCGGGGAGATGCGCCGCATGCCACGACGAACACTAAGCATGCCACGGCAGGTAACCCACCGGGATACGCGAGAAGGCCAAGATCAAATCCGCATGCGAAGAACTTACAACGTGAGAAATTTCTAGCCTACCGTCATGGCAGCGATCCTTAGCATAAGTTCAAATGTTTGAGAAACGCTTTCTGTAAAAGCTCATAAAAATAGATCATGAGGTATTACGATATGGGTGGCTCGCTTTGCTAGTGAAGAAGACAAAGAAGCTCCGAACAAAATAACTACCACAAAAACGTCCCAAGCGCAACTCCTACAACAGCAGCACCCACCACAATCTTCCCTCGCGGCGCATCCCTCCCAGCAGCAGAGTCGGCCGTCGAAGTACTGCTTGCACTTCCCGTAGTCACAACCGAAGACGCACTCTCCGTCTTAGTCCCCGTCGCAGTTCCAGTCGTCGCCTCTGTCGCGATTCCCGTCGTCACCGCTCCCGTCCCCGTCGCCGCAGCCTCGGAACTTCCAACAGTGGCAGTAGCCGTCACCGTCTGCGTGGGATACGGCGAGACCTTCGTGCTCAACTTGATCCCGCAAACCGCCTCAGTATCGAAAGTGAATGGCATATTACGGGCGTCGCATTCTGAAGTCTGGCGCTGGATCGAGTCTATATCAAGTCAGAATATTGGAACATCAAGAAAGCCAAAGCTGAGACTGACCAGGCAGGACCGAAGCATCGCACTTCTCAGCCATACAGCAGAAGTACCTCTCACGGTATTTCTGCTGGGTGCACATGCACGCCGCGTCGTTGGTGCAGGAGCCGCCGGGGAAACTTCCAAAGAAACATCCGTTCTACAAACAAATGGTCGTTAGTTCCCGATCCAAGAATGGGCTCTCATGCGGGAGGAGGGGTGACGAACATCGCATTCCGCGTCGCGGTTCTGCTTCTCCTGGTCAAAAGGCGTTGCGGCGACGAGACTGCCGCCTACAAGGCCCAGCAAGATGACGACGCTAAACTGTGGCATAGCGAATGTGTATTTCAAACGAGTGACGATAGCAAGTAACTGTGCAATGAAGAAACTTATCCATCAAAACGAAACCTGTCCGGCCCCTGGCCTCCTTTTTAAGCCAAGATGTCGCGACAAAGGCAAACTTTTCTCGTGTTGCTGTGCCGCTCAATGTCACCCAGCTTGGCCGGATTCAGAACTTTTGGTTCGTGTTCAAGGGGCGGCGGTGAGGCCAAATCTTACCGCGTCCCTGGTGCGCGTGATTTTGGCAGTATTCTAAAATTTGATCTCCTGCAGCGAATCGAGAATAAGCTTACTAGCTTAATGTCAACAACCCCTGGTCTTTAGGGCGGAAGGCGTGGCCAGAATTCGAGTCACATCGCTTCGGCGCGACCAGCCGTCCTTCATTCCGCTATTCGTGTTGTGGTTGGTGTCGCTACAAACGATGAAGGAAATGCGAGCTCTTTTTAAGATACTCTGGTAACAAGTCGCTTGGTATCACGTCAAATTTGCCCGGTTTGACCTCCTAGTTCTTGAGCTATCCGTCGTGGTGCAGAATGGATTGGTTTAGGCATGCAAGCGAGTCGATTGCAGTGAGATCGTCGAAAATGAAATTGATGTTGACTGCCGTATGACTCGAGAACAGTTGCAAATGTTGTAGGCGACTAGATGCTAGCCCTCGTAGAACCCAGTAAGACTCACATGGTGAGATTAGTTTTGGTAGTCACAGAGTCGATAGACAGTGTCGGTATGTGGGAATGTGTTTGAAGCCACATTAGATGTTGCACTCAGAATAAAACCTAGTTCGCTATATTAATTTTGAGGCAAGGTAATGGTTGGGAGCAGGCCGGCTTCGCATGGACATTGTCAGTCATGTCGTTTATGGTTCACAACGGCCTCTTTGCTATGGCGGCAAGCTCCGTGATTACTATTTCTGAGCTGCCGTGGCCTGAGCCACATCCTCAAGGAAGCCCCGTCTCTCGAGTGTTTCCCGTCTTGAAACAAGTCGCCTGGTGAGGCGTTGGTGAAATTACCAGCGCCTGGGTAGCTCCCGTGCTTGCCGTTAGCCGGCGCAAACTCTCGGAAGACGGGACCCACCTCGAATCGGCCGCGATCACGGCACACATTGCCGTTAGTTCGCAGAAGACTTACGCGGCAGGCGGTCCCCGCGGAACAGCGGCTTGTCGCAAAAAGCCAATTCAGTTGCTCCGCCCCGTGGCTTGGCAGCCATTGGCGGCAGAACTCATTCTCCCGATGAGGGGACACGCGGCCGGGGTGAGCCCGTCAAGCATGAGCCCGAGTCCCTTTGCTGTCTGCAACAGGGTCGTGTAGCAGGGCAATCCAAAACTTTCGACACCAACGGCGACGATTGCGAGCCAGGGGATGGCGGTAGTTGTCAATGACGTAGGCTCTGAAGTTGCATGGAATTCCCTTCGATGCAGGAGGGACATGCCAGGACACCCTTTGCAGCAGCCGCCTGGATCACGAGATGCAGGAAGCCGGACAGAATCGTGTCGTGGACTGCAGACTTGAGTTGAACAGCATGATGGCCGTGAAACGTGCCCAGCTCGTCCCAAACGTCTCTCCTGTCGAGCAAGAGGCTTTAGCTTCTGGCGAGACTGCCCAATGATGGGATGATGGGACGATAACCTTGAATGGACCGCATCTTGGTTGAGGGCTGTCAAGATTCCCGTACTTCGGTATCCGAGATGCGATTTTCTTCAGCAAAAGGAACTGATTCGCTACCGACATCCCAAGACAATGGAACTTGGATCAACTCGAGAACGTGGCACGGGACTGATGTATTGCTGTGCAATTGAGTTGAGTTGCACGTGTCGGCGAGACGCCCCGAGCCCCATCTGGGCGCTGTGGATGACGTCTGAGCTCATCCGCGGCTCAACCAGAGGCTGATGCTGGATTTCCAGCCACACTCGGGGCAGACGGTTTGCATATTTGGCTGGCGGGTAGCTGCGTCGAATCTTTGAACCAAAGCAGAGGGAGGGATCAGTTCAATGTTCTCGTCAACGAAATGGTGCCGTTCCCCAGAGTTCAGACTCGACGACCGCAAGCCAAGACGGCGAGTCAAGCGAGGAGCCGGCAGTGTGGGGGATGAGCAGAAATTGCGTGTCTCCATTTGCAAGTTGTACGCGTCAAGCTTTTGCTATCCACAATCGGCACTCGATTGCGCAGGAAACAGCCAGCCAGATGCTCGGGTTGCATCACACCGGGGTCTAGTATTCGTAGTGTACATGCTTTGTAGGTACTTGTCCAAGGGATTCCTTGAGAAATTTGGAAGGTGCGTATCGCCATCAGTTCCCGCGTACTGCGTATTTGTCGCCCAGCCGTGGGGTCGGCCACTGGCACACTGGCCAGTGGCCTGGCGTGTTCTGTGTGGATGCTGCTGACATCTCATTCGGAGTTGTGAGATTGACGGGAAGCTTGACCTGCGAAAGCCGGGATATTGATCCATAGACCCTTTTTTCCCCCTTACATGAAAAAGGCTTGTTTATGCTTACTTCGTATTGAGAGATGTAGCGCAAATGAAAAAGATCAGAGCAGCAGATACTGGCCGGACATCGCATCGAGGTTTCAACATTTGCGAATGTGCCCGAGAGCCGACATTCTGCAACGCCAAGACGGCTGGATGCCGGCCAGAAACAATAGCTGCTGTCGTCAGAAAGGCTGTCTAGCGGCGGGCGGCCTGTCACCCTCTGCTCAGCGTAAGAGGAATGGGTCCCGTTCCAGCAGTGAGATTCGCACAAGGCCCGTCTCCTCCACCGTTGGAGAGGAGAGGGAAACGGAGATGGGCAAGCACCGACATCCCGGTATGTGCGAAAATGGGTGTGGATGACCTGGAGTTTGGAGGGCAGCGTTAAGCCCCTAAAAGCAAGTGACCTCGTGTGGCTGGTGCGGATTCAGGGGAACGAGTGAGAGAGGTCGCGTGCTGTTAATCAGCGCCCCATTCATATACGGATTGAGAGACTTATGATTGGCTGACTGCTCGGTTTGTCGATGGAAGCTGTTTGGCGATTTGAGCGCGCACTTTGTATCGCAAGCGGATTGCTCTCAGCAGCTGTTGACTTGATCGCTCAACTAGTTTACGCCTCCTGCAGAAGCGCAGCGCCGGACTTTTAGGGCGCCGTTTTGCAGTGCGTCGCCAGCTTGAGTCGTAGGTGGTTTGGCCCGACAACTCGCAACCGCCAAGATGTCCGACAGCCATTGGTTGCTTGCCGGGCATGACCACCAGTTCGAATGCGTTGGACGCTGTGCGGGACGAGACCTGGTGGTCGTGAATAGCTTAGCTTGCGTCTGTGCCTCCAACCACCACAACTTGTGGATGTCAGTTGACAATGCCGATCTTCGACAATGGTGGCCGCCAGTAGCATTTCAGGTTGTGGTGAAGATGGTCGCAGGCAGTTCGCAGGGAGACATGTTCGGTGAGTGGGCTTAGCATGCGCAGGAGCAGCTCCTCGTCTTGGCGGAAGCCTGGTCCACCACACCCGTCAGACGCAGCGGAGTCGAGTCAACAAAGCTCGAATCTGATCTGATAAACCGTACATGTTCATAGTGGGATGAGGCTCCAGTCTAGTAACTACTCCGACTTGGGCTTGGGAGGCTCTCCGGGCGGATGGTTGAAACAGAGTAGCGGAAATAAGGCGAGCGGAATATCGTCGATGGAAATTTGCAAGCGGTCGCCAGGGCAGGGCCGGGCAGCATTGGCATTGAATTTCGGAAGAGCCAAGCGGCTAGGAAGCGAGAGGATCCACCACCGGGATTGAGGTTTCTTCGGCGAGTTGGCGAAGTGTTGCATGGCGGGCATGGCCGACGGCGGCACCGCTTCTTAGCGTGCACCGGAGCCAAATGAGGCATCGGTTTTTCGACCAGGGCGTTTAGATTAGATGGGCAGACTGGCAATGCAGAGTGATATCATCAACATGTTGACTATGCTTCTGTTGTCGTGATATTTTGGGTGATTGAAAGTCATCTGGAGAACTGTAGTCTGCGAAGACGGGACCAAGAGAGTTTGGTAGCGTCGGTGGCGGCCAACAAGGTTGGATAGGCTGGCTTTAGTGTGTTAGGGTCGATTTGGGGGCGAGGATGATGGGAGCCTTCAGTAGGGGTATTCTGGGGCAAAAGCGAGATGCGAGATGCCCGTAGGTACTTCGTATGGATGGCGGGAGGAGGCGGTGGTGGTGGTGGTTGGTGGGAAGAGGAGGGGGAGGCGCATGTTCTCCGGAAGCAACAAGCATGTACCTAAGCTCACGGCATATGATGGCGAGGCATTGCAGAAGCTTGACGCTGGGTACGGCAAGCAAGTTGGACGGCGAGGTGTCGTTCTGGACGGTGATTGGGGGCGAGGTGTTGGTCGGGGTCTGGCCGAGTGACTTTTGTGGCCGGGAAGGCCTGGCTCCGAAACGACAGAGGCCGTGATAAAAATATCAAGAATAGAAATACAGGTCGGAGTTAGAGTAGAGTTGACATTCCTCCATCATGTAAGGTAAGGCGACGGGACACGTTTGGCGGCAAAACGGAAGCGACAGAGAAAGAGAAGGAGAAAGAGTCGTCAGAATCAAATGGCTGAGCGAGGTGAGATGCGCCTGGCGCAGGGACGGGAAGGAGCTAAAACAATCTGGTTCATTGCAAGTGCGAGGAAGCCGCGTGTCGCTCTGGGGTCTGAGATGGAAGGAAGGAAGGCGCAAATGGAAAGAACAAGTACCTTCCTCGATAGTAACTGTGAGTCTGTGACTGATGAAGGCAGGAACGCCCTCTACGCCATGGTTGCTATTTAGACGACTTCTTGCCATTCCACAGCCTGGTTGATGAGCAGTCTAACACGGGCAGGCGCACTGGAAGGCGTACCTTCCTGCATCGTCAAACAGAGACGGAAGAGAGCAAGAGGGTTCTGCTGTGTTGGCTTCCTTCCTTGCACCTTCCACCGTCACGACTCACGACGAGATGCACGCATTGGGGAGGAACGTGGACCATGCTGCTGAGTTCGCACAGGTGAGTGGCCTCCT